GACAGCTGGGGATCGGGATAGGGGAAGAAAGAAGAGGAAGAGGAAAAGAGAGAAAACATATTAAAGATCAACCAAAAACGCATAAACCCAAAAAAAAACAGATTAAAGATCAACAAAGAACGCATATACCCAAAGAAAATATACCCACACACACATTACACCAGTATACACAGGGAGAAAAGAATACTGGGCAAGAGTGGAAAGTAGATGAAAAGAGAGAAAACATATTGAAGATCACCCGATAAAGTATGTACCTAAATATACACAAACAACATTACGCATAGAAAATATAATAAAAATCAACCAATAAAGTATGTACTCAAATTATACATACACATCGTAAAATTATACAGAGAGAGAGAGAGGAAGAGAGTGAACAAATCCTAGAGATGGTAAATACCCTCATTCTCTCTCTTGCTCTGTGCTCTCTCCTTCTTTGTTTTGAAAGAGAGAGACCCGAGCAAGAGAGGGAATGAGGACAGAAGACTCTGAGAGTTGGGGTCGGTGGTGCCATGGCCAAGAATGGAGTCATAAGAATCCAGTCGAGGCGGAGATCACGGAGTTCTTCAATGACTCACCCAAGAGCTTTGGGTTTTTCACCCCACGCTCACTCTCCCTCTCCCTCTCCCTCACCTCGCACACACATCTACAGAATTTAGAAAGTGGCAGTGGCGGTGAAGTGATGCCGCTGCTGTATAAAATTTATAAGTATGACCCAAATGGCGGTTATATTGACGTATAATAGGGCCACAAATATAGGCCCACTGTCACTCTTACAGTCTTGTGTCATTAAAATTACTAATAGATTTTTAAAATTATAATTTAAACCCTAAATAATTAAAAAATTCTCATTTCCCACTAAGAAACATAAAATGGTAATAGTATGGTTCAAAATCAATCGTCTTTTACTTGATCTAATAATTTTTTCTGTTGTATTTTTTATATTTTCATAATTTTTATTCACTGTTATCTTCATAATACTCAATGTTAAATATTTTACATGAGAATTTTGTATCCAATTTTACTAGCGAACAACATCATTATTTTTTAAAATGGTTAAATTTATGACGTGAAAATGTTAATTTTTTAGAATTTAAATTACAAAATCGAACATCTTTTAAGGTTTAAAATGTCATTCGTCTTAAATTTTTTTATCATCTGTTAAGGACGAGGTCAAGTTTAGTTTACATAATTTTGTCATATCATAATACAAATTGCAAGGTGAAAGGCAAGCCATAAAAGTGAGAGAGAAGACATGAGGGATTCAAAAAATATAAATTGAGTTTGTGTTAAAAAACTTAAATCAATAATGAAAAATATTATGTGATATTTGGTAACGACTAATTTCATATTTTTGTGGAATTAGAAGCCGATAACAAGATCAAATCTCCATAACCATCTATCAGGTTAGAAAAATGTTCTTACTCGTAAATTTTCATTCAAATTTATCTTGTCAATCATAAATTATCAATCAAATTTGGCTTGTAAAAAGCTATTTTGTGAACAGGTAAGGTTATTCTTGCTATTCCAATTCCAAAGTTTCTTGATGTTGATAGGCATATTTAGAGACCGAATTCTAATGGTATGTATTCGGTTAAGTATGGAAATTCACTCGATGTTAATCTTCAGCCTGCTTCTATTTCTCTTCCTTGTTCCACTTTCTCTCCTCACCCCAAACTTTGGTATATTATATGACATATATTGGCTATTGTTAAGGTCAAGTATTTTTGGTGGAAAGTTTGTAACAATGCATTGGCCTCACCTGAGAATTTATTTAAAAGAAAGTGTGTTGATTCCCCTTGGTGTCTTATTTGTGGTGATACTATTGAATCTATTGAGCATATTATTTTTGAATGTAAATGGACAAATAAGGTTTGGTTTGGATTTGATTTGGTCGCGTTTGGAGTAAGGGGGTTTTGTCTCGGTCTTAAAATGAGTCTCGGATTTCCTGGATAACTTCAAGAAAATTTTTGATTCCTATGAGTTTATGGGCCTATGGCTACGATTAGTTGGGTCATTTGGAATTCCAAGAATAATTTTGTGTTTAACCATAATGTTCCCAATGCTCTTGTCACTTTGTTGTGGGCTCAGAGCTCGTGGTCTGAGACGGTGGGCTCTGCTATGGGGAGGCATGTGGTGCATCGGTTTGGATCGTCTCATCTACATCAAAATACTCTTTGAGAAGCTATGCTTCCAAATGCTGTCCAAAGTCAGCTACGGGGAACTTCGCATCTTACCATTCAATATACCATGTGTTAAGGACAAAAGGTCCTCAAAGACAGATAATAATTTGCTTTCTAATCTATCGATAATTAGTTTCTGCGACAAATATACTCTAGATTTTACCTCTAAGAATCACGTCTACAAGAGCAAGTGATGTCAACTTCTTCAGCCTCAATTGTAAGAGAATTCTTGGTTCCAAACATCACTCATTGGTCTAATTGCGTTATTTCAACCCTATATGGATGGAGTCTTACCAATTTCAAATCAACATACAATTCAATCACATGAATGATGAAAACCAAAACATGAAGCTAAATTCAGTAAATAGAAGAAAATTAATCTACATTCCAATTAAAGACAATGAAACACATACCGGCATAAATATTGTGTGAATACCGCTATTGTACAAGTTAAAGTTACTTGAATCAACATGCTGGTGCTTTGCAATCATAGGAAGAGGGTTAAAATCAGTAACAAGAACTAGACCAACTGAATATTCACTAATACTACAAGGGGCAGGCCCAGTTTATATCCTACCCAGCAGCCAGAGAGAAAGCATGCCCAAGAGGCAGAACTACTTCTTCGTTTATACCCTACACATAAGTACCATGCGAGCATATACTAACTTAAATAAGACCAACAAATTTCAACTCAGCGATAATATGTTTTTTACAAAACAGAAGAGGCTATAGATAAAAACTTCAAGAATTGTGAACCTAATTGCTCAGGAAACTACCGATTAAAGATAAATAATGCAAACATAATGCTCAAGAACCATTAGTGACCCACCATTTGATCTTCAATCTAATGACGACATAGTATCCTTTATGTGGGCGTGGGTGGGGGTTTTAAGTGCATCTTCTCTAACACGGAAATTTTGAGCAGTTGGATCAAGCAAGTCATTTATCACCTGACATTAAGAAGAAAAAAAGGCACTAAAGATCAGAGAACCTCCGCTAGGTGACCAAAGATAACGCAAGTTTTATTAATAATAAAAGGTCTACATCAAATATGCCTTGAGGCACATGCGTATTAGCTAACTATTTTCAAGAGTAGTAAATTATCTACAGGTAGAACTGATCCCTTGTCTACCCATCGGTAATTTGTGCTCATGATTGCCTTTACATGTGCTTGTGTGTGTGTTTGTAAAGCACCTGACAGCTGGGGATCGGGATAGGGGAAGAAAGAAGAGGAATTTATGGAACTAAGTCAAATGATTTGTCTCTCATGAATACCCTTATCCTAGCGTGGTAGTCTTGATATAGATGACCTGCCTTTGACTAAACAGATGAGAGAATTAATTAAGATAAGATATGTGTAAACTAATCTTAACACTTCTGACCGTTGAATGAAAAAAAAATATTTATTAATTTAGTACAACATCGAGGGCAGTGGTTTTTATAAAGACTCATAGGCAATTTTATCTCAATTATGATGATTAAAAAATAATCCTTATAAGTTAAAAGTCTACCTAATTCATATCCTAGTAATATAAGTAAAAAAATTTATTGAGTCTATAACGATTTTTATATTGTTAGTATCAATAAAAAAAAAAAAAAATTCTTATAATACCAATTAATGGGCTTATTGTATTAAAAACGAGTTGTCCTCATTGACAACTAATCTAATCCAAGTATCATTCTTATTAATTTATTGTATCAATTTTGAGTTTGCGAAGTCTTTAAAGTAGAATAATGAATTACAGGAAGGTTTAGACCCATTCTGCAAATTCAGGGCTATGGGACTAAACAATTTGGCCCATGAGTTTTATGTTAGAAATTTTGGTCCCATCAAGTTCTGAGGTGGACCTGGGCCCACGCCATTGAACCAATGAGTCTGGCTCAGTTCTATACGATGTCGTTTTGCATCCTTTTCAAAATTTTCATCCGGGTCACTAGTGAACGAAAATTCTTTAAATTTTCCTCTTATCCGTTGTGTAAGCAAGCACCGGAATAAAATATGGCAGCCTCTGCGTGGTCGTCGCCTCTTCTTCTTCGCCCATCATCCCGCCAATTCAGTACCTCTCTCTCTCTACATTTGTGCTATGTATATATGTGCATCAATGCAGCTAATTTATAGGTATTTGATATCATCATACAATTGATCTCAACTTTGTAGGAAATTATAGACCAAGAAGACTAGTTTCAGGAACTGGGCTCTTTAACGTTGAAAACAAACGAAAATCAAGAATGATGACTGTTGGAAGTAGTAAAGGCAATGTGGATGTTGGTCTTGAAGTCAGTGAAGGGCTTTATCTCGGGATGGATTTTGGTACTTCTGGAGCTAGGTATGCTCTAATTGACAAAGAAGGGAATATACATGCTGAAGGAAAGAGGGAGTATCCTCTGCATATGGTAAGCACATTACCGTCGAATCAATCTTGTGATGTTCATATTTACAATTGCTCGGTTGATATGGATCTATTGATGTTAAGTAGGGATTGTAATTTTTGACACAATACAAAAACACTAATCAAAATTAGTACGAAATTAGTGGGTTAGGGTTGACCATTTCTTCAAGATCGGATGGGTTGGGTTAATGTCTAATACGAATAATACGAAATTGACACGATTAACATTTTAAAGTATTATTATAAGAATAAAATGTCAAAATTTTATTATATTTTATCAAGTAGTGAACTAATTTTTGTAAAAAAANCTCAGTTCTATACGATGTCGTTTTGCATCCTTTTCAAAATTTTCATCCGGGTCACTTGTGAACGAAAATTCTTTAAATTTTCCTCTTATCCGTTGTGTAAGCAAGCACCGGAATAAAATATGGCAGCCTCTGCGTGGTCGTCGCCTCTTCTTCTTCGCCCATCATCCCGCCAATTCAGTACCTCTCTCTCTCTACATTTGTGCTATGTATATATGTGCATCAATGCAGCTAATTTATAGGTATTTGATATCATCATACAATTGATCTCAACTTTGTAGGAAATTATAGACCAAGAAGACTAGTTTCAGGAACTGGGCTCTTTAACGTTGAAAACAAACGAAAATCAAGAATGATGACTGTTGGAAGTAGTAAAGGCAATGTGGATGTTGGTCTTGAAGTCAGTGAAGGGCTTTATCTCGGGATGGATTTTGGTACTTCTGGAGCTAGGTATGCTCTAATTGACAAAGAAGGGAATATACATGCTGAAGGAAAGAGGGAGTATCCTCTGCATATGGTAAGCACATTACCGTCGAATCAATCTTGTGATGTTCATATTTACAATTGCTCGGTTGATATGGATCTATTGATGTTAAGTAGGGATGGTAATTTTTGACACAATACAAAAACACTAATCAAAATTAATACGAAATTAGTGGGTTAGGGTTGACCATTTCTTCACGATCGGATGGGTTGGGTTAATGTCTAATACGAATAATACGAAATTGACACGATTAACATTTTAAAGTATTATTATAAGAATTAAATGTCAAAATTTCATTATAGTTTATCAAGTAGTGAACTAATTTTTGTAAAAATAAATATTTTTACTCATTTTTATTATTATATTTATTAAGTTAATTTTTAACTTATAGAAAATATACGAGCATAGGTTCGATTTAGTGATAATAAAATTTTAGACATAATACTGAATGTTAAATTTTTTATTCACGGTTTATATGGGTTAACATAGATCAACACAACATGACCCTATTAGTTAAATGAGTTATTTTAGAATTGACTAGTACTCAACACGAAGTTGACCTGATTGCGACCCTTAAAATTGTTAAGCCCATTTGAGGTGTATTTGTTTATATAGCAAGTGGTAGTGCCAGTGCTGTATAATAGCCTTTTTTCAGGTTTTTACTTGCTAGTTATCCATTAATTGTGTTGGGAGAATTTGATGTACTGATATTTAAATATTCCGTCAAGAATTATTGGGCACCGGTGTAACATTTCGACTGTGCTTGGGAACTGGAATTGGGGGAAAACCAGTTCAAAACTTCAAATTATGTGCTACATTTTCCCCAGTATCAACTCCAAGTCCCAAATTCCACAATGTCAAACAACATTAGTTTGGGTAATAAGGGTTTGCTAATGGGGTTTTTTGTTTCTCAAATGGAGTTGTTAAACTCTTTATTAATTGAAGTTGGATGCATGGTCATCCTTTCAGTGGAATCTGGGGGCAGTAATTACTATAAATGATGATAGGCAATTTTGGTGACATTTGTCCGCTGTAGTTTTTTTCTAGTGATTCTTGCATATGAATGTTTTTCTGTATCCAAGAATGTGTAAAAGTTCTAATGTTATTCTGTATCCAAGAATGCATGTGTAAAAGTTCCACTTGGGGTTGTCATTGACCCTGCAGTTGTAAATTGAGGGGAACTTTCCCTGATCTTCAAGGAATGAATCTTGACTAATTCAGAAAGCAATAATGCTTGTTCATATTATTGCACCAAAGTAATTGTTACAACAATATTAGAATTTTGTTTTTGTTGTCTAGAAAGAGCAAGGAGACAGTGGATTGGGTGCAATCATGGAAAGTGACACTTTTCTTGCTTCTTGAAGATGTACCTGTCAGTCTCCGCCCATTTGTCGCTTCCATCTCTCTAGATGGAACTTCTGCAACAACCCTTATAGTAGACAGGTGGATACCTTTATGTGTTTTCGATCACTTCTTACTTTTCTCCTGGTAACTATCTCTTTGGAACTTGTCATCCAATTTTGGTACTGTAGCTCAACAGGAGAACCATTGTCAAGACCCTTCCTCTACAGTGAGAGTTGTCCTGATGCTTTACCATTGGTAAAGTCCATTGCTCCTGTGAACCACACAGTTTGCTCTGGTTCTTCCACCCTCTGCAAGCTTGTTTCATGGTGGAACTCTGACAATTCTAATAAAGAATCTGCAGCGTTATTGCATCAAGCAGATTGGCTGTTGTGGCTTCTTCATGGCAATCTAGGAGTGTCCGACTACAATAATGCTTTGAAGGTATAATTTGATTTAGTGCTTCTTGTGCTTTTGTTGTTCTCCTTTGTCCTTTCCAACTATCCTGTTAGTAGCTGTGTTCAGTGAAAATTTTTTCGGTTATCAAATTTGTGCCTCAGGTTGGCTACGATCCTGAAATTGACTCTTATCCACCTTGGCTGCTCTCTCAGCCATTTTCTCATGTTTTGCCTTCTGTACGAGCTCCTGGAACTTCTATTGGTTTTATTAAAGAGGACATTAGAACACGATTCGGTATGCTTTTGTTCCATTAAGTACTGTATAGGAAGCATTCCAGATTTAAGTCCTCATTCTATGATACCTTGGTGAAATTGATAATCGGTACAAAAAATTATCTCACATTTGGTACTTAAGGATTCTTATATATATATATATATTTGCATGGGCAAACTGTTGCCAACAACCAATTTTGTGAAGTTGAAATTTTGTCTTTCTGTCAATGCTCACACAGCCTAAGTTCTCAATTCATTGAGTGATCCTTAAGTCGCTCTTATGTTTTTATTGGTGGCTTTGACCCACACACATGAGCTCTGTCCAGTAACTACAGCCAGTCCTTCATTTCCAGCAACAAAATTGCAAGGAGTTTTCTTTCCATTATTACACAGAAAGAGTTTTCTTTCCGTTATTTTCTAAGTGAATACTGCAGAATTTGTTGAGAGATCACCTTCTTGAGAGAGTTTTGGATAAAACATCCTTAGAAAGCTGTAGAACAGTTTAGGAAGGTGATTACTCATGCAGATTTTTAAGTCAATACATGATATCAGGATTTATAAGTTTCCATGAGATATTGTATTGATGAATTATGAGATTGATTTATGCTTTTATGTTGTCAAATTGCACTCGTGCCTTACAATGAATGCTATATTTGGTTAGTGCTTAGTATGTATCTACCTGAGATCAACTTGCCCCAATTTTGCTAAACGTTATATGTTAGCAACTTTTGCACCTCACTGGATTGAAAGATTGTACTTATAAATGGTGCACGCTGAAACAATTTTGACCTGGCAGGCTTCTGAGGTTAAAACATCCGGCTGATTTTCAGATAAAACGTCCTGACAGGTTTTCCGGAGAATTGCCTTGTCTGCGCAGGAACCACTGATAGCATAGCGGCCTTTCTTGCTGCACGTGCTACTCAACCCGGGAAAGCTGTGAGATTTCCCCTGCCTTATTGATTTTCTTTACCTGTAGAGAAAGTTTTAGCGCATGTTGTACAGACAGAGTCATCTTCTAGTGTCTTTCCACTCAAAGAGCTTCCAGTCCATGTCATAGTGATTGTCTGGAAAAAAATATTAATTGGCTGATCTGATGGTTAAGTCATCTAATTAAATAAGTTCTCTTTTATTTTTAATCCTTTTTCTAACTCAGTGTAGCTGCATGCGGTATAGACCTTACCTTGTAGCCCTGGTATTGTAGACTGTAGAGATCAGAATTTGCATTGTTCTTTCATCTGTAGTAATGGATCACTTATTAATTTTAGACGAGTTCCTAAGTTATACCATCTAGTCAATACTGGATCTGAATCCTTGCGACTTGTTTTTAATTCTTGTAACTAGGTCACATCATTGGGTTCAACACTTGCTATAAAATTACTAAGCATCAATAGGATAGAAGATGCACGATTTGGGGTTTATAGTCACCGCCTTGATGATAAATGGCTTGTTGGAGGTGCTTCAAACACAGGTGGAGCTGTTCTTAGGCAAATCTTTACTGATGAACAACTCGAGAAATTGAGTGAGCACATAAATCCAATGGAAGCCTCTCCTCTAGACTACTATCCTCTGCAATCAGTTGGTGAAAGATTTCCTGTGGCAGATCCAAAGATGGTGCCCAGGTATTTAATCTTCTTTGCACATTCTGATGGAATAATGTAAACTCGTAAATGTCAACGCATATAAAAGCTACAGTCTTCAGTTTTTAAAATTTGTCATAAATCTTGGTGGAAATGTATATACATCTGGTTACTGAAGTATTACCATCTGAACAGTTTTTTTTTCTGGGAAATAACTACATTCATATTTGTCCCATGAATGGAAACTTGNCTTCAGTTTTTAAAATTTGTCATAAATCTTGGTGGAAATGTATATACATCTGGTTATTGAAGTATTACCATCTGAACAGTTTTTTTTTCTGGGACATAACTACATTCATATTTGTCCCATGAATGGAAACTCGAGTCCAGTATTATGGAGAGAAAAAGAGGAGGATATCAACGTTTTAGAATGTAAATCATGGGTCAGAATAAGTGTAAGAAGTGTTGTGTTATAATAAGTGGGGTACAGAAAGACATATAACTCGTAAAAAATGCCTTGACCTCGATCCAAAAACATCATGATAGTTNAACTACATTCATATTTGTCCCATGAATGGAAACTCGAGTCCAGTATTATGGAGAGAAAAAGAGGAGGATATCAACGTTTTAGAATGTAAATCATGGGTCAGAATAAGTGTAAGAAGTGTTGTGTTAGAATACGTGGGGTACAGAAAGACATATAACTCGTAAAAAATGCCTTGACCTCGATCCAAAAACATCATGATAGTTTTTTTCACCTTTTTTCTTTTCCCAAAATGTAAGGATGTCACCATGCATATTGCTTTGTTTTCAGGGTGGTTGCCAAAAGATTTAGTGAGTGCTCCTTTTTTTTTTTTCCCCTTGGGGTTTAAAATTGTCGATGTCTGGGAATAAATGGAGTTTGGCTTGTTATCTCCAAAAATGTAGAATTTGAACAAAGAATCCTCTCATTTATGTTTCTTCCATGAATGGAAATTTGGCGTGGAAAATGAACTTAATAACATATTCATGATCAAAGATTTCAGCTCTCCATGAAATCTATGCCTTTGGAAATTGAAACAATCTATTCCAATATTGAAGAAGGTTTTGCTTATTGCTATTCATAATTTGCCAAGACTTCGTTCCACTTTCTGTTGGTTACAATCGATTGACAAATCTAGATTTTGGTTTCTTTAGTTTTGTTGGCTTTGACCTCAAAGTTACTCAAAAATTTCCTTACAATTGATTANACAAAGAATCCTCTCATTTATGTTTCTTCCATGAATGGAAATTTGGCGTGGAAAATGAACTTAATAACATTTTTTTTTTTTTATCAACTTAATAACATATTCATGATCAAAGATTTCAGCTCTCCATGAAATCTATNCATGCAAATAGCATGACAGCCTGATACAAAATTATTGACTTAAATTTGATTAAATTTTTACACGAAGTTAAAAATGACACAATCAATTAACTAAAATATTAAATGCATTTGATTAATATTTAATACCATACACACATAACTTAATTTTGATATCATAAATCTATATAATAAAGCACAATACAAATTTAAATTTCAAAAGATAAACAAAATAAAATAGGTCGACAAATTAAATTAATAAATTAGATCTTAATAGCATTACTCATCTTAAAATGGGGTTTAAACTTTTGTACTAAAAGTGTAATATTTTATTTTATTTATTAGTTTGTTTTTCTTGATCAAAATTTTATTTATTAGATTTTTTTTGTCATGCACTATTACAAGAGAGAGAGGCTACAAACCTGTGATTTGGGGTGTCAATTATACCGTGTCGTGTCGTGTCATGTGGCCTGCGTGTCGTGTATTTTCATATCATATCATTGTTATTCGTGTCGTATTTAAGTCATGACCTACGAAAAAAAATATATTTATTGTGTTCTGAATATTAAGCATTAGTCAAAATTAATACCTTTACATGCCACCTTAACGTCCAACAATAGAAATAGTGATCATTAGGCCAATCATTAGCNAAGCGAGAATCATACCACTAGACCAAACACCCTTTTGTCCCTACAATAGATTCATACGTAATATAACAAATACCTCTAACCTGAATAAGGAGTGTGAACCCATGCAAATAGCATGACAGCCTGATACAAAATTATTGACTTAAATTTGATTAAATTTTTACACGAAGTTAAAAATGACACAATCAATTAACTAAAATATTAAATGCATTTGATTAATATTTAATACCATACACACATAACTTAATTTTGATATCATAAATCTATATAATAAAGCACAATACAAATTTAAATTTCAAAAGATAAACAAAATAAAATAGGTCGACAAATTAAATTAATAAATTAGATCTTAATAGCATTACTCATCTTAAAATGGGGTTTAAACTTTTGTACTAAAAGTGTAATATTTTATTTTATTTATTAGTTTGTTTTTCTTGATCAAAATTTTATTTATTAGATTTTTTTTGTCATGCACTATTACAAGAGAGAGAGGCTACAAACCTGTGATTTGGGGTGTCAATTATACCGTGTCGTGTCGTGTCATGTGGCCTGCGTGTCGTGTATTTTCATATCATATCATTGTTATTCGTGTCGTATTTAAGTCATGACCTACGAAAAAAAATATATTTATTGTGTTCTGAATATTAAACATTAGCTAAAATTATTTATTATTAGTATTTAGTAATCTTGCGTGTCGGATTCATATCAACGAGTCAAAATTAATACCTTTACATGCCACCTTAAGGTCCAACAATAGAGATAGTGATCATTAGGCCAATCATTAACNAAGCGAGAATCATACCACTAGACCAAACACCCTTTTGTCCCTACAATAGATTCATATGTAGTATAACAAATATCTCTAACCTGAATAAGGAGTGTGAACCCATGCAAATAGCATGACAGCCTGATACAAAATTATTGACTTAAATTTGATTAAATTTTTACACGAAGTTAAAAATGACACAATCAATTAACTAAAATATTAAATGCATTTGATTAATATTTAATACCATACACACATAACTTAATTTTGATATCATAAATCTATATAATAAAGCACAATACAAATTTAAATTTCAAAAGATAAACAAAATAAAATAGGTCGACAAATTAAATTAATAAATTAGGTCTTAATAGCATTACTCATCTTAAAATGGGGTTTAAACTTTTGTACTAAAAGTGTAATATTTTATTTTATTTATTAGTTTGTTTTTCTTGATCAAAATTTTATTTATTAGATTTTTTTTGTCATGCACTATTACAAGAGAGAGAGACTACAAACCTGTGATTTGGGGTGTCAATTATACCGTGTCGTGTCGTGTCATGTGGCCTGCGTGTCGTGTATTTTCATATCATATCATTGTTATTCGTGTCGTATTTAAGTCATGACCTACGAAAAAAAATATATTTATTGTGTTCTGAATATTAAGCATTAGTCAAAATTAATACCTTTACATGCCACCTTAACGTCCAACAATAGAAATAGTGATCATTAGGCCAATCATTAGCCTCAATTTTATTTATTAGTTTTTTTATCTAAAATTTTTTTGGGATCAATATCTTAAACTTTTACAAGGATGAAATTGTGAGGTTCGAACCCAAGACATAAGGGTCCAAGGGCTGCAGTAGCCATTAGGTTTGTTTTTTGTTTTTTTTATCAGTAGGATCTGCAATCAATGTTATCAGAACTGGACCGGATATCGAACAGGTTAGGGGACTGGGTCAATGGTCGGACCGGCCATATAATAAAAAAATAAAAAATATATATAATAATTATAAAACATAATAATTTAACTAAAAAATATAAAATATTTCTCAAATACNATAAAAATATATATATAATAATTATAAAACATAATAATTTAACTAAAAAATATAAAATATATCTCAAATGCATATAATTTATCGTAAAATTAATGAAATTAGGTAAAAGAAACACCTTCTACAGATAATTCAAATNTAAAACATAATAATTTAACTAAAAAATATAAAATATTTCTCAAATACATATAATTTATCGTAAAATTAATGAAATTAGGTAAAAGAAACACCTTCAACAGATAATTCAAATGCATTCAAAAACATTGCCCAGGATCGCATGCAATTTAAGATGGATCAATCCAGTATAACTGACCCTCTTAGGCCCTGTTGGATGATAATAATCTTGGTTACAAATGAAAATCACATACCTAAACCCCTAGACTATTTTGTTTGGGTAATCAATAACTCAGTATTCCAACCCAAGGAAAAGATAACTACTGTAATTGAATTCCCAATAATGGTGAATATCCTAAATCCATGAACAAAATAGTAATAATCTCATACTTACCTTGATTAGGTAATTCTTAAAAAAAAAAAACCCAAAAATCAAGTTGGTTTTCAAAATTAATTTCATACAAAATTCAATAATGGGTATGACCGATCCCAGTGGATGACATTCAAAAAAACCCAAAAATCTTTGAAGACATTTGCAATGGATGACATTAACCCAAAAATCTTGCCTGAGTTCGCCTAATGATCGATGGTAGTGGCTAATCAATCGCAGTCTCAGTTTGGCAGAGTCACCTGGAGTCGCCTGACCTTCTTTTGGATTGTTCTACAGGCAATAGTTTGAGTTTTTAATTTTATGTAATTTAATTTTTAACTTGGTATTAAACCGGCCGATTTTTATAAAATCGCCGATTCATAATTTTTTTAAAGAATCGTCCGATTTTATGGTTTTTAACCGATTTTCTTCCTTAAGCAGTCTAATTACGGAACCAGACCGATCAAGGTCCCGGTTCATAATTGAACCGGTCCAGTCTGATTCTGATAACACTGCCCACAATCACTCACACTTACAAGTGTAAGGATAGTGAAATTTATTTAAACACACGCACATCTAAGATTATATGATGTGGGATAGTCTTAGCCTCTACCCAACCTATTATCAGGGGAGACAACTGAGCCCACACCAGAGTCACCCGGCCCACGGCCACNAAAGTGCTCAGTGAATGTACGCATGATGAATGCATAATTAGTTGCTACTTTGTGCAGATTACATCCTCGTCCAGAAAGTGATGTTGAGTATTTGCATGGCATTCTAGAATCTATTGCCCGTATAGAGGTACAGATGTTTCTTTGTGCCTTTGTCGTATTTTGCATAACTGAGATGATATGTAATTTCAACCAGACCCCTCGTGGTATTCATTTTGCTGTTATTTAGGCAAAGGGTTATAGCCTACTGAAGGATTTAGGGGCAACCGAAGCTGAACAAGTGTTTACGGCAGGAGGTGGAGCGAAAAATGAGAAATGGACGAAGATACGAGAGAGGGTGCTGGGTTTGCCCGTTTGTCGGGCACCTCAGACGGAAGCTGCCTATGGTGCTGCATTACTGGCATTGAGGGGTGCTCAATAGAAAGCAAAGGCCATCCAAGCAGGAAGATGGTCAGATTCCTGTATGGCAGAGGAGAACAAAAAGGATAACTCAATGGTTACTTTTGTAATTCTCAAATTATTTTGGTGTTTGTGGCTAAAATTGAGTTATAACTTCACCACTAAATTTGTTGTAACTTGGGCATGGAATCAAAAACTATTACCCGTGATTTTAGCTTGTATGAGGTTAAAATTTCAATAGATATGATGGTTTATAGGAGCTAGGCTGTCAATAGATTGGATTTTAATCCGAACTCGAATTTGATGGGCCGAATATGAATTAATATTTTTTATCGATTATTTGAATTCGTTATTTTATATTTTACGAATTCAAATTTAAATATATCTATATTCAATCCGATTATGATCCAATCTAAAATATTTATATAATTTTATATAAATATTAAAAAAATTAAGTGATTATTTGAAGGAATTTAATTCAAATTTAAATGTAATTTAGTTAAATTAAATCATTCAGATCGAATTTGAATTGAACTTCAAAAGTTAAATTCAGATCAGTGAAAATTCTAATCAAGTCCGATCTCTTGACAGGCGTCTCACGAGAAATAAGCATTCGACCAGAGTTTCAGTCTTTCGACTATCCTCAGATGGTGTGGCCTCCTTATGAAGAAGGCCCAGCCCAACAGGGATAGCGCACGGCCAAGTTCAAGCACACCTTCTGGCGCAAAAGACAACATAGCAAAAAGAAAATCCAAAATCATAGGGGTGTTGCGAGAATCGAACTCACGACCTCTCGCACCCGAAGCGAGAATCATACCACTAGACCAAACACCCTTTTGTCCCTACAATAGATTCATACGTAATATAACAAATACCTCTAACCTGAATAAGGAGTGTGAACCCATGCAAATAGCATGACAGCCTGATACAAAATTATTGACTTAAATTTGATTAAATTTTTACACGAAGTTAAAAATGACACAATCAATTAACTAAAATATTAAATGCATTTGATTAATATTTAATACCATACACACATAACTTAATTTTGATATCATAAATCTATATAATAAAGCACAATACAAATTTAAATTTCAAAAGATAAACAAAATAAAATAGGTCGACAAATTAAATTAATAAATTAGGTCTTAATAGCATTACTCATCTTAAAATGGGGTTTAAACTTTTGTACTAAAAGTGTAATATTTTATTTTATTTATTAGTTTGTTTTTCTTGATCAAAATTTTATTTATTAGATTTTTTTTGTCATGCACTATTACAAGAGAGAGAGACTACAAACCTGTGATTTGGGGTGTCAATTATACCGTGTCGTGTCGTGTCATGTGGCCTGCGTGTCGTGTATTTTCATATCATATCATTGTTATTCGTGTCGTATTTAAGTCATGACCTACGAAAAAAAATATATTTATTGTGTTCTGAATATTAAGCATTAGTCAAAATTAATACCTTTACATGCCACCTTAACGTCCAACAATAGAAATAGTGATCATTAGGCCAATCATTAGCCTCAATTTTATTTATTAGTTTTTTTATCTAAAATTTTTTTGGGATCAATATCTTAAACTTTTACAAGGATGAAATTGTGAGGTTCGAACCCAAGACATAAGGGTCCAAGGGCTGCAGTAGCCATTAGGTTTGTTTTTTGTTTTTTTTATCAGTAGGATCTGCAATCAATGTTATCAGAACTGGACCGGATATCGAACAGGTTAGGGGACTGGGTCAATGGTCGGACCGGCCATATAATAAAAAAATAAAAAATATATATAATAATTATAAAACATAATAATTTAACTAAAAAATATAAAATATTTCTCAAATACATATAATTTATCGTAAAATTAATGAAATTAGGTAAAAGAAACACCTTCAACAGATAATTCAAATGCATTCAAAAACATTGCCCAGGATCGCATGCAATTTAAGATGGATCAATCCAGTATAACTGACCCTCTTAGGCCCTGTTGGATGATAATAATCTTGGTTACAAATGAAAATCACATACCTAAACCCCTAGACTATTTTGTTTGGGTAATCAATAACTCAGTATTCCAACCCAAGGAAAAGATAACTACTGTAATTGAATTCCCAATAATGGTGAATATCCTAAATCCATGAACAAAATAGTAATAATCTCATACTTACCTTGATTAGGTAATTCTTAAAAAAAAAAAACCCAAAAATCAAGTTGGTTTTCAAAATTAATTTCATACAAAATTCAATAATGGGTATGACCGATCCCAGTGGATGACATTCAAAAAAACCCAAAAATCTTTGAAGACATTTGCAATGGATGACATTAACCCAAAAATCTTGCCTGAGTTCGCCTAATGATCGATGGTAGTGGCTAATCAATCGCAGTCTCAGTTTGGCAGAGTCACCTGGAGTCGCCTGACCTTCTTTTGGATTGTTCTACAGGCAATAGTTTGAGTTTTTAATTTTATGTAATTTAATTTTTAACTTGGTATTAAACCGGCCGATTTTTATAAAATCGCCGATTCATAATTTTTTTAAAGAATCGTCCGATTTTATGGTTTTTAACCGATTTTCTTCCTTAAGCAGTCTAATTACGGAACCAGACCGATCAAGGTCCCGGTTCATAATTGAACCGGTCCAGTCTGATTCTGATAACACTGCCCACAATCACTCACACTTACAAGTGTAAGGATAGTGAAATTTATTTAAACACACGCACATCTAAGATTATATGATGTGGGATAGTCTTAGCCTCTACCCAACCTATTATCAGGGGAGACAACTGAGCCCACACCAGAGTCACCCGGCCCACGGCCACAAAGTGCAGAGGTAGCCATTAGTTCAATCATAATTTTTTTGGCATAGTAACAAAAAATAAAACTTATAGTTTTAAACAGCTGTCTGGCACACTACACAGTACAATTCAAGGCTTTCAAGTTTCAGGCATCAGCAATGGGAGCATTATCTTCCTTGTCCTCTCAATTGATACTACGCTACATCTTCCGATCACCACCACCACCACCACCACCCACTTCTTTCTCTGTCTTCAAACCCCTCCACGCGACGTCGCTTCGTACCACCTCGGCTTTCTTCTCTTCTCTCTCATCTCCCCCATTTCTCTTCTCCTCACCCTCTATTTCTCTATCCTCACCCCCTCCATTTCCTCTGTGTCTCTGTAACCCCCAAACACTCGTCGAAAACCCAATCAACACCGTTGAAACGTACGAAGATGATAGTGATTACGGTGAACTTGAAAGTGGGGACGAAGATTTTGAATCGGAGAAAGAGAATTTGAACAGGGTTTTGGATTCTTCGGTTTCGGGAGCCGACAAAGTATCGGTGTCGAAGTTGCCGAGTCTTACTGTGAAGGAAAAGAAAGAGCTGGCTTCTTATGCTCATAGTCTTGGCAAGAAGCTCAAGTCTCAGCAGGTGGGCAAGTCTGGTGTGACTGATTCTGTTGCAACGTCGTTGATCGAAACCCTTGAAGCCAATGAGCTCCTCAAGGTATTATTTATCTTAAATCTCTAACCATTCTTAACACAATTATGTGAATGAGGTGTTAAACAATCATAAGCTTAAGCCGTTGGAACCTAACCACATCCCCTCACACCAATTGAAAATCTTTCTCTGATACTATGTTAAACAATCTTGTATTCCAAAAGTTTAAGCTGGTTATACTTCAACAGTGCTGAAATAGGGTTTAGTAAGGTTCGGGTTTGAGGTTTCATAAGAGTAATTAATGTTCGCGTTTGGCAATACACTTTAATTGAGTTGTTTTGAACTGTCTAATTTGTGTTTTGAGTAGAATAACGATTACGCCGAATGAAGTCAATTTGGTTATAGATGATGGTTTTTTTGGATGATCGAACTAGTTCCTTTCCAGTGATAGGTGCAGGGTGGTAGGCTGTTAGGCTGGCATTGGACTATTGTTTGAAAATATTAATAGTGGAAAGTGCAGATGAAGATGTTTCAGTGGACAAGTTACTTAAGATTGATGTTCTTTTTAGGCGTATAATAAATAAATTTTAGAGAAGTTGGGGACAACGACAACATGATTGACGAGTAGTGGAGGTACAGTTGTTTATCGTGGATGGTAATGCGCATAAGTCCAAGGAGGTTTTGTTAAGGAGAAATTTGTTCATGTAGAAGGTGTCACAAGGATCAAAGGGTTTGGCTCCCCTCCAATTCTATTTGAATAGTGAGGATGTTTTTGCCTGAACAAATCTTTTCTTATTTAAAACAAGTTTGAATTTTCAAATACCAAATGAATTAAATATGCTTATGTGGATGGATCCTTACCATTCAAAGAGAATTGGAAGGAATGTTGCTCAATTTGGAAGGAAAAAGACTATGTTTCCTTGTTTAGTCATATGTTTTTTGGAGGGACTACTTAATAAAATCGGTTCTTAATACTTGATAGAGGGCTCCAAACTTTTTTCGGGCTTCTTTGCTGTGCGTATGTCAGAACATTGTACATTGGAAGTGGTGAAGCTTGGATTGGGGTTACATCCCTCTAATTGTGCCATGCTGTGTGGCTTGAGTTAGTCAGCAGAGTTGAATTTGGAATTGTGAAAGTTCTGGTATGAGAAAGTAGGTATTTTGATGGTCCTAATTGCAGATTCCTTCTCATTTTTTNTCAGAACATTGTACATTGGAAGTGGTGAAGCTTGGATTGGGGTTACATCCCCCTAATTGTGCCATGCTGTGTGGCTTGAGTTAGTCAGCAGAGTTGAATTTGGAATTGTGAAAGTTCTGGTATGAGAAAGTAGGTATTTTGATGGTCCTAATTGCAGATTCCTTCTCATTTTGGGATTTAAAAAAGCAAGTCCAGTATTTAGGATCTTGAGTGCCTCATGATTGCTTGTGAAGAGTTTGTATTTGATTTTGGTTTTAGCTATTTACCGTATTGAATTCAATTTTTGTCATGGAGGTTGGTTGTTGTGAAGTACTGTTTAACAATACGGTTGAAGAAAAATAACATGCTCTCTCTCTCTCAGGGGGAATGGGTGGGTGTGCAAGTCTGCAGATTGTATTGTCTGCTTATTATCAATTATTCTTTGTCCTGNATTGAAATCCTACAAGTGCGAACCAGCATCCTGACAAACCATATCCTTTGTTGCTCAAGAACTGTGTGAGAGAGAGAGAGAGAGAGAGCATCGTCAATAATGAAGGTTGTAATTCAAGGATGCGTGAGAAACTTTTTGGGCAGGGTACTCCAACAAAATTATCAAATTGGCAATCTCGAGTCGAACACTAATCAACTCTAATTCAACCCGTTTAACTAATCATATCATGTCATGTCGATTTATTTATTTTTCATATCGTATTCGTGTTGATTCATATAAATCGNTGTGGTTGTTGGACGGATTGGACGGACTGTGATTCTTTACAGGCCCAGTCTGGCCAAGTTGAAGGCAGAGGAGAAAAAAAAACAGGCTAAGAGAGTTTTTGCTAAAAGACAACTGGCATCGAATCCCTCATTACAGGTTTATTGTTATCGAATTAAAACAGATAAAGTAGAAATTGCATCCTAATGAATTATACCTTTCCAAATTTCCCTTTTTCAACTAACTATTCTTGTAGTGTGTATGTAGACTATTGCTGAGTCTGTTGTGTCTTTGGGAAATATGCAGAATCAAGGACAAGGACAGAGAGGCTCTGCTCGGGGTCGCCGTGGAATTAGCAGATTTTGAGTTTCCATTCATTTTGGCCATATAAATACCGGAATTTATGTAGAGCAGCTGCAGTGGTTTGATGTCTAATATCTTTCAACTGAAATGTCATTTTCAAAACAATAGGTGTGAAGATGCCCAGAGAAGTGAGATTGTCCAACCAACGAGAGAAGTGATATGCAAAATTGTCTTATTATTGGATATTTGGACAGGTCAGCTTGATGACGTGATATAACCATGACACTCAATATTTTCTCCTATTCTAGAAAGCAATTCTAATTTGCTATGGTAAACATATTACATCTTGCGTTATAGTATAGCATTTGCCTTTTAGCCTCGTTGAGGTTTCAAAGATTTACATACAGTTTTCCTGTAGAATACAATCACGNTGCAAACTCCTACCAAGAATATATGCGAATCAAGCAACCAAAGAGAGGGCTATCTCATATCAGGTAACTTCGGGTGTTTGTGTGTTTTTAAGTCTTCACCTGACATTTACTCTGATAGAGTAAGTGATTAGGTGTGAATCAAAAAAACCAAGACCTCTCAAAAAATGGGCGTTCGGTGTTGAGCTAGAATCCTACACTTTGGGCCGTTAGGCCCTGCGATCATGGTAATTGCGCCGGGGTGTCGGGGAATTGGGCTATCCCACATCGGATAGCTTCGCGTGTGTGTGTGTTTATAAGTCTCCACCTGACCCTTACTTTGATAGAGTAAGTGATTAAGTGTGAATAAAANGACAAACCATATCCTTTGTTGCTCAAGAACTGTGTGAGAGAGAGAGAGAGAGAGAGAGAGAGCATCGTCAATAATGAAGGTTGTAATTCAAGGATGCGTGAGAAACTTTTTGGGTAGGGTACTCCAACAAAATTATCAAATTGGCAATCTCGAGTCGAACACTAATCAACTCTAATTCACCCCGTTTAACTAATCATATCATGTCATGTCGATTTATTTATTTTTCATATCGTGTTCGTGTTGATTCATATAAATTGNGAAAGCAATTCTAATTTGCTATGGTAAACATATTACATCTTGCGTTATAGTATAGCGTTTGCCTTTTAGCCTCGTTGAGGTTTCAAAGATTTACATACAGTTTTCCTGTAGAATACAATCAAGNTGTCGTGATGCTAGCTTACAAGTTACTGGATATTGCTATGCACATGAATCCTTTATAATTTTCTCTGGGAAAAAAAAAACTGGGAATAGGTACTCCCTAGTAGAGTCTACTCATACCAACTAACCAACCAAACCAAGTCTTATGTTCCAATTATTTAGAGTCGACTATATAAATCTGCTAATATCATTTTTNAAGCAACCAAAGAGAGGGCTATCTCATATCAGGTAACTTCGGGTGTTTGTGTGTTTATAAGTCTTCACCTGACCTTTACTCTGATAGAATAAGTGATTAGGTGTGAATCAAAAAAACCAAGACCTCTCAAAAAATGGGCGTTCGGTGTTGAGCTAGAATCCCACACTTTGGGCCGTTAGGCCCTGTGATCATGGTAATTGCGCCGGGGTGTCGGGGAATTGGGCTATCCCACATCGGATAACTTCGCGTGTGTGTGTGTTTATAAGTCTCCACCTGACCCTTACTTTGATAGAGTAAGTGATTAGGTGTGAAAAAAAAAAAAAAAAGAATAGGAACTAAAATTGATTCTCATACCAATAGAAGAAGAGCACCCACAGAGAAGATTCCACTCATTGATAAGCTAATAAATTTCAGATCTCGTCCAGCCTGCAGAAGCAAACAGGTGTGTCGTGATGCTAGCTTACAAGTTACTGGATATTGCTATGCACATGAATCCTTTATGATTTTCTCTGGGAAAAAAAAAACTGGGAATAGGTACTCCCTAGTAGAGTCTACTCATACCAACTAACCAACCAAATCAAGTCTTATGTTCCAATTATTTAGAGTCGACTATATAAATCTGCTAATATCATTTTTTTCAATCACACGCTATACGTTCATTTAAGTTAAATATTTTCATATATTTTCTTATTGTTTCGTTCAATATTAATTTAAGTCTACCCCTACTCCTAGTACCATCAAGAGAAAATTCTATCATTTTTTCTAACCAGTACCTCTATCAACTTCCGTTAAACACGACAAAATCATCTTAATCTATTATCTCAACTTATTCTCAATTGGAACTGCTTTTACCATTTTTTTAATATGTACCATAATAATTCGCTCAAATTAAAAAGGATTGCCTCTCTCGCTTTTGAATTTAGTTGGTCTAACGGCTCATTGAACTATCAGGGCTAGCCATCCCCACACAGTAACCCCCACCCCACCTTCAGACAAAGGCATGATTAGGCCCTAGGTTTTAGGTCCTTTGCATAAAAAACTTTGCTAATTAGGCTATCATGTACCTTCGGACGCAGAAAGAATTAGCCTTAACTAACAAGAGTTTATCTCCTAAATGCAACATTAAAACGTAATAAGTATGAGGCCTTTGATGCACTGAACACTTTTCTGGTTCCGAAGGCATATGCAACACAATGCAAGGTAGCCGCCCCCATACTGATAAACACCCCCAATCTCTTGCTCCTCTGCATGTACTGATACCCCGTACTTCCCCCATAGAGGGAAGAGGCAATGAATATGAGACTAACAGCTGTTAGTGACACACTGAACCCCTAAATATCCCACAGAAGTAATTTCCGATCAAAAACTTTGAGAGCAAGGAAAGTTGAAGTCCCCCCCAAAAAAAGGAATGAAGGAAATTAAACAATCATACCATCAATGTCCCCTCGAGGCTATGAGTGCTGGGTGTCACACACAGTGCAAGAAAGTATGGAACCAACACCTTGTGCATCTGCATCCAACAATAGGTATAAATATTAAGGAGAATCAGATTATACTTCATCATGTACACAATATTTCCATTATATTGAAAATGAACATCTTATTCCCCCACCGTGTTGACATTTAATTCATCCACTGAATATTGACACACTTAAAAAACCATCAGTGCAAGACCAATTGCCCAATTTAGAAAAATGCTCTTATAGTCCAAATATATGGGGCTTATTTGTCGATTCATTTTGTTTTGAAAGCATGAACATGATACATAATCCCTAGATTGAAATTGACAAGGATCAAAGTTGCTCTGAACTAAGATATTATTACTAAGATGAGAAAGTAGCAACTCAGAATACTTGGCTGTAGGAGTTGTAACAATTCAATTAAGCAGCATGTAATACATGGCGTGAAGCTGCAAGTGCTCAAAGGTTAAGCCTTTTCTCTCAAAGGGAGCCTTATAATCTATTTCCTTGTTTAATGATATCATAACAGATGTTGTACTAATGAAAGCAATGAAGATAGTTTAGAAGATTTTAAATGTATTGAATATTCTCATAGGGAAATAAAAAATAACTAGTAAAAGAATAGAAAGATAAAAAGCTGACCTCATGCATGACCTCAGGATCAGAGGAAAAAATTCTGGGGAACAACCAGGGAACAGATGTTCCTAAAAATCCTAATATCAACCCGGTTAGTGCTCCAATGATCACCAGGGACTTTAACAGCATTCGAGCCTGTTTGATACCTTAAACCTTTCAGAACATCATTCAGAAACAGAAATCATGTAGAGCCAGAAATTGCAGCTAGGAACCTTAATCAGTACCAACAGTCATGCAACATAGGACAACAAGAGAGAGAGTGCATCTCTAATGCTGAAACCATCAACAACATCCAAGAAAATAAAGTCCAACTTGAAAACACATTAGCACCAAAAATCTATAAAAACTTTTCCTAGAGACTCTTAGTATTGTGATAATGCCATTATTGCAGCCAAGGGTGGAGCCAAAAATTTTGCTCAGGGTGAGNAGTGCATCTCTAATGCTGAAACCATCAACAACATCCAAGAAAATAAAGTCCAACTTCAAAACACATTGGCACCAAAAATCTATAAAAACTTTTCCTAGAGACTTTGAGTATTGTGATAATGCCATTATTGCAGCCAAGGGTGGAGCCAGAAATTTTATTCAGGGTGGGCACTTTAATTACGCACTCTAATTATTTTTTTCCTAACCAATCACGCTATATAATATATTTATATTTATTTTATCACATTTGATACATGAATTCCATTTAAACATAAAAAATGCCAAAAAATAATTAAACATAAAAAATGTCAAAAAATAATGAATATTGTATATGTACAAAAAATAACTAATTATCACCATCGTAAAAAATGGAACTAATTGTCATTTTTGTAATTAAAAAATATCAGTTATTTACTAACAATCCATTAAATTTATTTAATAAATAATGTTCCAAACACACTGAGATATTAACATAGTAAAATTATTAAACAAAAATTTAAGAGCTAAACATAGTAAAAAATTTTAAAATCGATTGATTCATAGCAAATACTATAATCAATATTTGAATAAAAGTATAGATGTAAAAAAAAAAAAAAAGTTAAATGAAGGTCAATTGCAAGAACTTAGTAGTTAAATGAAGGTCAATTGCAAGAACTTGCACTTGCAAAAATTCATAATAATAAAATTAAGGTCATCCAAAGAAAGCCTTAATAAAATAAAAAAATTGTCTCATTGTTCTATTTGCCTTTACAATATTACTCATCATTATTTATACGACTACAAATATTATAGAAAAATCTAAAACTGCATATCAATTCATAAAAAACTGAGAAGAAATGATACACCATGATCAACTGACAATTNAAAGCCTTAATAAAATAAAAAAATTGTCTCATTGTTCTATTTGCCTTTACAATATTACTCATCATTATCTATATGACTACAAATATTATAGAAAAATCTAAAGCTGCATATCAATTCATAAAAAACTGAGAAGAAATGATACACCATGATCAACTGACAATTAAATCGGTTAAAAAAATGGATTGATACCAAATTTCAACAATTTGAAATTCATCCCAAGTTTTGGAGATCAATCCTAAATCAATTCCATTGAGTTGCAACTCGATCTAATTGAGTCGTAACTTAACGTGATTAAGTTTTAATTTTTTGTACGATACTCAAATTTTAACAATATGGGCTCNATTGATACCAAATTTCAACAATTTGAAATTCATCCCAAGTTTTGGAGATCAATCCTAAATCAATTCCATTGAGTTGCAACTCGATCTAATTGAGTCGTAACTTAACGTGATTAAGTTTTAATTTTTTGTACGATCCTCAAATTTTAACAATATGGGCTCAGAGTTTTTTTTGTTTTATGTGGGTTTGGTTTTTTAATTTTTTTTTGGTGGAGATGGTAGGCCTAGCATTTTTGTCTTTAGTTTTAAGTGGGCACAAGTGATATATTATACAATAAACAATACATATACTTAGGTAATAAAAAAAATTGAGGGGGGGCACTTGCCCACCTTGAACCATACATAGCTCCGCCCATGATTGCAGCATCAATACGAAATGACCACTAACCTTTGACAAATTTCGGTTAACTCCATATATCAGCTCAGGCATAAATGATTGAGCAGTTTGAGAGAGAGGCTCACCCCACACAGTGCACAAGCAGTATATTTGGATCATCACCTGAAATAATAGCAATTTGTTAGTGTAGATATCCATGAAGTTCTCACAGATGGGAAGTTGAAGTAGAGAAGAACAAAACCAGACGAGTAAAATACAAGCGCAACTTAAAATACCTGATGAGCAGCAACAGTGTGTGTGCCCATAGATGCAGCGAAATACACGAGTAGAGAGTAAAAAGCTACCTGAACCGCAAGAATGTGTCAGATGCATTGCATAATGATATCACAGCAAATACAGCAAGAGAATCAGGAGAAATGTCACAAACCTTTGACATCATCGTGACAAAAACGGGAGCAGCAAGCATGAATATTTGCTGGAGGTCACCAAATGATGGAACAGATATTGCATAGCCATTATATCCTTTCTTGTTCAGATCTTCAATCATCATATAACCTGCAACAACCTAAAATATAACCCAGTAAGCTCCAAAACTGCATGAAATGGACTTGAATAAATTAAAAATGCATCGACAAGAAACAATGATAAAGATTCAGAAAGATATGTTATAAGTCATTTCAGCATACTTGTGACACCATTGTTGCCCATGCTGCTCCTGCAATACCATAGTCCAAGAATATGCACAAGACTATGTCACCAATGCTATTTATTGCACTGGCAACTGCCAAAGCCTTCAAAGGTCCCCATGAATCTTTCATGCCCAGACTGTGCACCAAAATAGACGCCAGAATACAAAATTACTAAATTGAACTCGTCATGAATCCATCACTTCAGCAATCAAATAACGAAATAACTGTATTTTAATTTGCACAGAGTACCAGGACAATAAGAATGTTAATGAGAAAGATACATAATCAATTTCCCTTTGGGTTGTAGGCTATATATATGCGCATTGTTCTTCAGTAGGTACAAAATGCATTACTCTTAAGTACCTGACTTATATATATGCCCTTTACTCTTATAAGAAAGTTGCATGACAAGCAGCTATGTGTTTGCTGAAATTCCAGGGGACAGGGATGTATAGCTAAAAAAAGGCATATTACATGTTCCGCAAACATTATGATTATTGGAATGACAGAATTATCATTTATGTCTATCAAGAACAATTACATCCCAAGTTAATATCGGCCAGAGCAAGAGAAACTCCACTTGAGAAAAAAAAACAGTAGGAAGACCATTTAGATGCACCATGTAGAGGCTTTACTAGTAGCATATTTATTCTTACAAAGCCTAAACATGCTTATCTGTTTGATATAAATGCATGTAATTTGGCCAGGTATTGTTTTTGTTCTAACGGGAAGAAATAAGACAACCTGATTATGTATTGATGTGGTGCACACTAGATTAAGCATAGGAGCTTAGCTCAGTAGAGCCATCCAGAGACGGTAAGAAATGCCCTCAGAAAGTCTTAGCAGATGCATGTAGAATATCAATATAATAACAAGAGACTTTAAAGAGAGACAAAAAAAGTGAATTCACAAAGAAGGCAACCAAGGATGGCAGAAGATTATTTTGGAAAGAACAGAAATAGAAAGGAGATCAGTATACACCATAGATTTGGTATAGTGGAGATTATGAAGCCACTGCTTGCAGAGACTTATTGATGAAAGATGATCAAAATAACAAAGCAAATTACTACTGTGATACCATGTTGTAGAACGAAAAGAAAAGCTAAACTGCATCAAAATCTGATGCAAATTATAGGATTACAACCCAAATCTAAAACAAGACTAGATATTATAATATTTCCTTAAATATACCAAACATAGACCACTTTAGTTATATTTAATCAAGTGAAGAACAATTTGATTGTGTGAAATGGCACACCACAACCCATTACGACCACTTGTGATAATTTTATTTACTCTCAACACTGTCTGCCAGCACATTCAAAAAAAATGTCAAAGAAACAGGTAAGGGATCTTTGCACCTTGCACTCTGAGCAACCCATCCAACAAGCACAGCGGGCCAGGCTAAGCCTCGAATCTATGAACAAAAAATGATTCCATCAACTGAACAGACACTGAAACAAATCAAGCAAAGGACAATATCACAATAACCATGAAGAAAAGTATGTCTTTTCGACCGAGTCCTAGAAAGAAATAAGGCAGACACCAAAACTGATGGGCTCAATGGTAATGCAACTGTTCAAAATAACAAGGAATGGAGAACAAACCCATTGTTGGTATCACAGGCCACCTGAATGGGAAAAAAAAATTAAGTGCATAAAAGAAACAAAAATCCACCATATCGCATATGGTGCCTATTTCAGTGAATAGGCTCTCAAGGTTTACTTTAAAGATTTTGTGTGATTGCAATCTGGCCTTTCAATACCTATTCAGAACTGCAACATTCAAGAATTGCCTCTACTGAGCACAAGCATTGGTTGTAACCAAACAAGAACCCACCATCTCAATTGACTCCCCATTTTATTGCCTCCCCAATATGGGGCTCTCTTCAATGATGGCATTCTGGTCTTTAACCATTTTTGGGCTGTGAACTCGCACATCTCAATATCTTAATCCATTTACAGAAACTGCATTTGATAGCATAATGCTAATGCTCACACAAGAAATGGACTAGAGTTTAAAAGGTCATAAAGTTAAGATGAAATGCCTTCAGACCACCAACCAATAAATCCTCATTTCGTTGTGGGATGAAATGACTCAACTCCAACATGAGAATCAAATATGCAGCATCAATCGCAACTAGCCATTGCTCCCACAAAACGGATTGCGGTTTAACAGTGCCATAACCCTAGCAGCTAACTTTGCCTATAGCCCCACCAAAGCTAAAGCCAGAATTTGATCAGGAGGTGATGTATTACAGATCAGGCTGGGTGGTCTAGTCAATCTGGTGGAGTAGACATAAAAATACACCCTAGCACACAAGTTAAGGTTGGGTTCGGGTTGATTTGCCCATGATACCCCATTCAGAGCACAGCTGACTTGTGNGCTGGGTGGTCTAGTCAATCTGGTGGAGTAGACATAAAAATACACCCTAGCACACAGGTTAAGGTTGGGTTCGGGTTGATTTGCCCATGATACCCCATTCAGAGCACATCTGACTTGAGATTGGCATTATCAAAACACTTCAAATCCATGAATGTTGGGTCCAGTTAGGGGTGTTCACCCTACCTGATATTCCATCTTCCTACCCAATACTTTGTGGAATAATTTTTTTTTTAAGTCTACCCTACCAAATCAAGTGTACTATTCCTACCCGAATTCCATTCAAAACAATTGGGTAAGAAGTTGGGTAAGAAATCGGGTGAACACATATTTTTTAGTTATTAATTTTTAAATTATTTCAACAATTTAATTAAGTAACTTACAGCAATTAACTAANACACATATTTTTTAGTTATTAATTTTTAAATTATTTTAACAATTTAATTAAGTAACTTACAGCAATTAACTGACACAATAAACTAATAACACTAAAGAAAATATAATAAATTCGATAATACATAAACAATTACAATAAAATACAACAAAAAAGCCATAAACATCAATAAAATATTAGAGTTTCTAGATTTTTAGATTTTAATTTAGGAATTAACATATATATGTATATATAGAGAAATTTTATAGGTATTCTGCATTCCTACTTGATTTTTTGCGGAGTACCAAAAGATTTTCTGTTTGCCTACCCGATTCTTTCGAATAGGCGATCAATAAGGTCGGGTAAGGTACGTTGGGGTAGAATTAGAATTTGCGAGTAATCGAAAATTTAAACACCCCTACGTCCAATTCAGTTCAACCATCTAAACCCCATCTCTGATGACAACTGATAGTTCAAAGTGTCAATATTTGTCAAACAAAAACAAATAGGATTAAAAGAGAAACCATTAATACATAGAGGACTTGAAAACCCAAATCTTTTTAGCATAGACTTGTCTACAACTGACAGTTCGACCCTACATCCTATTAAACATATCACCCAGCTAAACGATACACAGGTTAGACAACGCAATACAGAGAAATTAGGCCATTTAATAATGAAGCTCAAAACAACAAAGAGAGAAACTAGAATAAATAGAATTCAGACACTCTAATTTGATCTGAATTCAATAATTTGCAACTTACAGAATAACGAGTAATTATATTCAAGGACATAAATGATTATTACGGTACGGAAAATTAACCTGAACATATGTGTTTGCTGCAGGTATGATATGCAAATTCTTCGCCCCAGTAAAAGCTGAAAATACCACATTAGCAAAATCAACAAGTCAACAAATAGTGTCTGCTAATGACAATATAGTCAAGCACACCATTTATCCGTCATGTTGAGAAAAAATCCTGAATGAATCTTCTGTACCAGTTAGTGCCCATTCACCCAGGAATTTTGTAAAGAAGAACATCAACACACCACAAGCCAACCCAATAGCTAGTAAAATAGATATCTGATGCTGCACTTCATCTTTATTCTGCACCAGTATCAACAAGTCAACCAATGTGAGAAAGACAACAAAGAGATGGCATTAACTAACATTTGGTAAATTATAATACCGTAGCACGACACATAATCATTATACATTGGAACAGTCCGCTTTCACATGATTCAAGTTGGAAGATAAGCAAAACTTCTTGATTCTAGTGTGCATGAAGCATCAAAGAATGCCACATACACCACAAATATAATAAATAAATAAAATGATGGTTCAGCATAAAATTAAAAGATATGCCATACATCACAAGGAAACTCTCAATCTCTTAGGCGGGTTTCCTCCAATTAAGATTGANACCACAAATATAATAAATAAATAAAATGATGGTTCAGCATAAAATTAAAAGATATGACATACATCACAAGGAAACTCTCAATCTCTTAGGCGGGTTTCCTCCAATTAAGATTGATTATTACACTGTCAAGTATTCTTCCATATGTGTCACACATTTAAATTATTTAAGTGCAAAAAAATCCAAATATTCCCACTGAAATTCAAAGTTTACTATATACTATAATTTGACACAGTGGACATAGCTGATATATTTATGATGCACTTACAAGTTTACATTGTAAGAGCCCCTTTCAAAATCAAAGAAAGATGGTTATTAAAAGTTAAAACTGCAGTTTCAAAGGACTCAATTCATCTACAGCGTAAAAGGCCTTTACAATGTGGTGCATTGTTCAAACGTTTCCTGGACCATGTTTTTAATTACATATAATGAATAATTAAAAATATTGTAACAAGCTAAATTCTACAGTAGATGACTCGGAATTTCAACCATGTGCTCAAATTAGTTTCCAGTCTTCAGTAACCATATAAAGCTATGCTTAAGCCCTTGAAGTTGACAATTGTAAGTGAAGAGATCAGAAGAATACCCTTCAAACTCGATGACAAACCTTTTTGGCTAGTGAAGTAGCAACAAAATTCGAAGTAGCAATCGAAAGAAACATAAACACGTAACACATATTGTCACAAAGCACAGTCCCTGGTCCTGCCAATTCAAAAAAAGAAAATTAAAATTCAAACAAGCCTACCCATAAAACCAATATAGTATCTCACAGTAAAGCACTTGGAGGTAGCAGAAATTCACCTAAAGCAGCGAGCTCAATTGAACTTTTCTGGCCAATCACAGCAGTGTCAATTAGACTCATTAAAGGTCCACATAACCACAGCCCCGTGGCTGGGCCTGAAAACTTCACAATCTCCACCATTTGACTCCAAATGCTCTCATTCGTCGCAAGTTCTTCTCTTTTCGACTCAACAACCTCCACCGTTCCCACGTTTGCTTCTTCTTCTTCTTCAATCGATGAAATAGGCACCTGGTTTTCAACATTTTCACTCGATTCTTCGCCGACTATTTCTAGGCTGGGATTGATGCAAGCAGTAATAAATCGATAACGGCGATTGCTCATTACTTTTACAGCGATTTGGGAACATATTGGGGTGCGAGAAACGCGACGGCGATGTGTAGAGGAGTGAAATTGGATGAAGAAATTTGTGGGTGTTGATACGTGTTTGGATTTAGGGTTTGGGATTGGAATGTGAGAGTGGCTAGTTAGGGTTTTAATATCCATATATTTGCTCATGGTTGAATGAGAGAGAAAGAGAGAGAGAGAGAGACCTAATGAAGAAAGAAGAATCAGGGGAAGGAGAAAGTGAATGGTTGAATGAACCTTTTGGACAAAATTTGAAAGAGGTTCGTGACACGTACACGTGCTAGTTTCGCGGCTTGGAAATTGCGATGGGCCAAGTAACTACTAACGTCTACAAACAACCACCACCAGCAAATCCTCCTCATCATTCTTCCGGTGGGCTCCTTAACCAAATTGAGTTTCTCGAACTCGAGTCAGGTGCGACTCATTTTTTTTTAAATGAGTTGAATTGAAACTGAATAATCTTTTAAACTCATTTTGTACTTAATAGATTTGATTTATTTATGTGTAAATATGTCAGCTTGGATTTGACTTACTTTAAACTCATTTAAATTCAACTTTTTAGAAAACGAGTTTAATTTAAATAATTTTTTTAATTTAATTAAAAAAATAAGTTTTTTAGGTTTGACTTAAACTCGTTCGACTATCAACTCTATTCTTTCATACTATCACTGTTTAATAACAAAATTACACATAACTAATACTTCAACTAATTTTTGAGAGCTCGATTCAAGTTTGTCTTGCTTGATTTCTAAAAAAACTTAAATAATTATTCAAATTCAGCTCATTTTCTAGATGAGCCAAGCCCAAAACAAATCAAATTTAAGTTGAGTCCGAATAATTATACTATTTTACATATAAACAATCCAAATTTTTTTAGACCGTCATCGTTATATTAAATATTTTTCTCCCTTCTAACATCATACCATCATTTCATTTGTTGTGACTGTCTAATTATAAAATTACAAATGAATAAGATGAGTCTCACTTCTTTAAATAATACATTTCTTAATACAACTAAAGTGGTTGTTAGTAAATTGTATGGTGTCACTTGTCTGTATGTTACTTTAGTATTGATGGTAACACTATGTGACATTGTGGATTTGGTCTGATCGTTTACATTGAATATTTTTTCTTATATTTGACAAGAATAAAATATTCAATCTAACGATCACACCATGTTAAAATATTCAAAACAAACCGAACATGAATAACTTGACTATTTTCTACATAAACGAATTGAGTCTAAAAAAACTCNCGTCTACAAACAACCACCACCAGCAAATCCTCCTCATCATTCTTCCGGTGGGCTCTTAACCAAATCGAGTTTCTCGAACTCGAGTTAGGTGCGACTCATTTTTTTTTAAAATGAGTTGAATTGAAACTGAATAATCTTTTAAACTCATTTTGTATTTAATAGATTTGATTTATTTATGTGTAAATATGTCAGCTCGAATTTGACTTACTTTAAACTCATTTAAATTTAACTTTTTAGAAAACGAGTTTAATTTAATTAAAAAAACAAGTTTTTTAGGTTTGACTTAAACTCGTTCGAATATCAACTCTATTCTTTCATGCTATCACTGTTTAATAACAAAATTACACATAACTAATACTTCAACCAATTTTTGAGAGCTCGATTCAAGTTTGTCTTGCTTGATTTCTAAAAAAAACTTAAATAATTATTCAAATTCAGCTCATTTTCTAGATGAGCCAAGCCCAAAACAAATCAAATTCANGTCTTGCTTGATTTCTAAAAAAAACTTAAATAATTATTCAAATTCAGCTCATTTTCTAGATGAGCCAAGCCCAAAACAAATCAAATTCAAGTTGAGTCCGAATAATTATACTATTTTACATATAAACAATCCAAATTTTTTTAGACCGTCATCGTTATATTAAATATTTTTCTCCCTTCTAACATCATACCATCATTTTATTTGTTGTGACTGTCTAATTATAAAACTACGAATGAATAAGATGGGTCTCACTTCTTTAAATAATACATTTCTTAATACAACTAAAGTGGTTGTTAGTAAATTGTATGGTGTCACTTGTCTGTATGTTACTTTAGTATTGATGGTAACACTATGTGACATTGTGGATTTGGTCTGATCGTTTATATTGAATATTTTTTCTTATATTTGACAAGAATAAAATATTCAATCTAACGATTACATCATGTTAAAATATTCAAAACAAATCGAACATGAATAACTTGACTATTTTCTACATAAACGAATTGAGTCTAAAAAAACTCATTTTTTAAAAAATTGTTCAAATCTTATCTGAACTGAACTCAAATAACTCGATTCAATTATTTGCTCTACATAAACACACTAATGACTCAAATCATTTAGATATGTTTCAAATCAGTTAGATATGATGACTACCCAAATTCGAGGGTGAGTGATATTATGTTGTTCTAACAGTTCATTTTTTTTTACTTTTAAATGTGTCCAAATTATAAGGAAAATGCAGAACATTGGGTAAAGTGAAGCCACCATGAAATATGAACCCGCCCTTGAAATGGACAAGTGCGGAATTTTATAGAAAGACATTAGTAGGAAAATAATGAAAGAGAATAAGAGAGAAATGGGCCCTAAATGTGCGAAGTTCGTGTAAAAAGAGCAGAGAAGGCACATGGCACAGGAAACACAAATCGAAGGTCTTATGATTGTTGAGAAATGGCTGAAGGATTGGAGCAAAGCCATATAGGGACAAAGAAAAAAAGTGAATGGGCACCGTGAAGGAATTGTAGCAACTGAAAGTAACTCAGTTAGCAAGTGAGACAGGAGAGGAGAGTGTTGAGACCCGGATACAGGGGCAGCTCAACACAAAATGAGGCCCAAAGTGAAATTTTAAATGAGGCCCTATTTGTGAGACCCAATTATGTATTGTATGTATATTAATATAATTTTGTGGGTTAAAGTGTAATTATGTAAAATTATTAACAGGTTAATTAAGTAAATCTTTCATAGCTTTGATGTATGTGAGCTTACATTGGGTAATTAGACTCTGTTAGTGATGTATTAGTGATACTCATTTATAGGAATTTCATGTGTAAAAATATTAGTGGGTCGATTTTAAAATTATTTAAAAGACAAGTGTAATTATTTACCTAACTTTACACATGTTTTAAAAATAAAAAGAAAGGTGTGTCATGTGTGTATATGTGCACGCCGTGTGTAAGTGTGTGTGTGTTAAATAAATATAAAAAGGGTGTGTGTGTTCCTATGAAGCACGGATACTTCAAAAGGGTCAAAATATCCGTATCCGATATTTTTGGATACGGATATGCTTCGGATACGTCTGAAAAGTATCCTAAAATTAAAAAAAAAAATTGATTTTTAAATACGACCGAATACGTTTTGGATACGCGTGGGATACGCATAAGGATACGGCGGGGTATTACTCAAATTTTAAAAAAGTATAGGGGCGCAAGAGCAATATATTTAGGCCCTTATTTGAAAAAAATATATATATATATTATTAAACTAAAAGTTAAAAAGACTAAAACCTGTACACTTTTCTTCCACAGCCCGTCAAGCTCCCCACTCCCTTCAGTCGATACTCAACGACGATCGTCTCTCTCTCTTTCTCTCTCTCACTCACTCACACTGACGATCGACTGACTCGGATGGTTAGTTATTATTATATATCTTTGATAGAAGTGTGATTTACTTTATAAATCATAATTATTACATTAAATATAATAATAAAATATTAAAAAATATATATTTTATGGACGTATCCTAGCCGTATCCGTATCCTATTTTTTTTTATTTTGCTGTATCTCCGTACCCGTATCATATCGTATCCATATCCCATATCCGTATCCGTGCTTCATAGGTGTGTTCTAATCAGCTGGGAGTCGAGAGAGTGAGATGAGCAAGAGAAAAAGAAAAAAAAAAAAGAAAGGGAGAAAGGAAAAAAAAATATACGTGTGTATTCACTTGAACTATGAGCAAAGAAGGTATGTATGACTCAATTTAAATGTATGTTGTGATTAATTTTAATATATATGTTGTTATACATGTGTGAGCTATTTAGCATGTTTTAATGAGTATGTTGTTTTAATTTAAATACATGAGCTGTCTTATTTTATTTTAATGGGTTGTTTTAATTCAAATTTCATGGGCTGATTTAGTTAATGTTAAAAACAAATTTTGTATGAGCGTAATTAAATATATTTAGCATAATTAACGGGCTATTAAAGATAGGTTCCAAATGGGTATTAAAATAAAGATGGAAAAAATGTAAAAAAATGGCTATTTAAAATGTTCGGTATGTTTTTGAGGGCTAGGTTGGAACCGAAATTATGAGAGTAAAATGAGTAATTTAAAGGTTCAATTGGGGGCTGAAATTGCATGATTAAATGTGTGTGTAAGATTAAATGTAGCGGTTTTAAATAAAAAAAACGATAAAAATTGGGAAGGAGTGCCGGTAGCGCCGAAACCCTGATTTCTAAATGTTATTATCACATGTGTGAACTTTAATTCAAATGACCTGAAAAATTTTGCATGTAGCAGTTTTAAATAATGCTTGATGTGATAGTGTAACTTTTGAATGCAAATTAGTATAATATTCAGTGCGAAATGTATGAAATACTANATGCTTGATGTGATAGTGTAACTTTTGAATGCAAATTAGTATAATATTCAGTGCGAAATGTATGAAGTACCAGAAAGTGCAGTTTTTAGGATTCAGGGTCAAAATATGTGAAAATAAGCCCCCAGTCAATGTGTTTGACATGCTTAATCCTAATTGTGATTTAATGTGATTGAAGTTGGGAATTTAGGGAGGAAATGTGATCCCTAGAACAAAATTGCTAGTGTGTGAGTGGATAGGACGGTAACCGGAGTTACCAGGGCACTTTGGAGTGCATCATTTGCATGCATAAGTGCATGATTAATTCTTAAATTTGATAACTATATATTGATATTATAATTACAAATATGTTAGGTGGAATGAGTGAGACCGAAACAGGTACGGTGACACCGAAAGGACCCACTGATAGGATTGGAGGACCATAGATTTGTACATCTGAGGTGGGTGTATATCTTTATATGTTTTGAAAATGTTATTATCAGATGATAGTAAATGATAAAATTTAATAGAAATTCTTTAGGATTATGTGCTACGTGC